GAGAATGACAGCGTGGAGTGTGAAGGGTTTTTATGAATGCTGCTCAAACGAGCACACCAAATTGTAACAGTGAATGCGGGATAGGAGGATATAGGAAATGTGAATAGCCCAGGGTAGAAGGAGAGATACCAAAACTGTTTAGCACACGCTTGGTCTAAGGATCAGCTTCACTTGTCTCTGACGCGTTTTGTGTTTCTTTGAATTAGCGAGTCTCACTGACGATGCCGGCGAAACGTCTGTTAATGTACCACGTCCATGGTCCGACTCTGGAAATGATGATGCATACAATGGATTCCGGACTAGGTCCGTTCCTCTAAGTCTTCCTACGAATATGACAAAGTTGCGAAAACAAGGTCAAACAACTTCTGTATCTTCAATGATCTATTTGCATGTGACTGTGGAAGTCTGGGCAAGCCGACTTTAGATTTTACACTCCATCCTGTCAACTACTCATGCTTTTAGTTTCTTCTCCATAGCATACGACTGAATATTCATCCAAAATAAACGTTGTAATGTCCCTTGGCACCACAGGAGTATGTCTTCTGTAGTTTTACAAAGCCAGTGTAATAGAGAGCAGGACCCTGCCTAGGCTGCATCATCCGAATGAGGTGTTGGAGGCTAAGCTATGTTTGGATTGTGATGATTTATAAAAAGGGCTGAACTAGGGATAGTGGGGAAATTTTCGACTTTTTCTTCACTCTGCTTTTTAGCGGTCATAATCCATGATGGTATGAATTAGTATATATATTTATATATATAATGGCCCACGCTCAGTACACATTTAACTCTGTATTGTACATTTTTGTACTTAGATGTTTGGATCCTCTACCTGTGGTTCGAGTCTTGTGTTAGTCGGGACTCGATCCGGCTCTCGGGGGTCCGTTGGCGGGCGCGAAACGCACTAGAAGTGGCCAATAATCGCGAGGGCTTGAAGGTCTTTTTGGCCAATCAGCTCCGTTCAGCCCAGTCGCTGGGCTCCACTGGTGGCCTTGCCTTGGCTGAATGAACGCCCTACACTGTCTCTGCTTGCTATGCGTCAATGCCTGGTTCTATGCTCTATGGGCTTCGTTACATTTGCGGTGAAGAGGTGCAATACAAAATTCCAGAAATTTCAAAAGAAAACAGACTTTTTCCCTTCTATCCGCATTTATTGACATTAAATAAATTCATCTGAAAAGGCTTTTGTTTACTTTTTTCATTATCAAATACAATTTCTTTGGAAAAATGTTTCATATTTCTTTATCGACGCTACGCCTTAATTTTTGAGAATCTTTTTTTATTTTAAAATTGTTTTTATCATCGTCTTGTTAAGTTGGCATTGAGAATGCAGATGCGAAATCTAACGGGGAACGATTAAAAGAGTCGTTAACATAATCCTTCCACATGTCTATCATTTCACTTGTATGAACCTCATATAATGGAATTTATTTACACTTTTTAGCAGGTACAATGAAGTGTTGCGATTTAATCGTAATTTGTCAACGTACTTTACCCTTAATAATTTGCGATAACTCAAATTTAGTTTGTGATTGTCCTTCTGACCGCGCAACCCTTATAGTTATTTACATCAGATGCCATCTTTATATGCTAATCTTTCCGAGGGTTTTAGTTGTACTATTCGCTACAGGGCCCACCCACCCTGGACCAGTATCCCACTTTGCTATTGGGTTCAAAGGTTATGGTTTACCCTTAATATGCAGTATTTTCTTATGTTGTCAGGCAAACTGATAATGATGGAAGCGATGATGAATCGAAATGAGAGTCTGATTCAGCATTTATGACGCCATGCTCCCAGATAGGCC